AAAACACATTGCACACTTTTAATTATAAAATGACAATGATGCACATTTTACAATTTGAATAATTGAAAACAACTAAAGGAAAAATATATTAGACAAATTAAGCTTTATATTATATAATCAACTATAAAAGATTGTTATTTATTTAAAAAACGCTTTCCAAAATTTAAAAAAAGAAGGGTTAAAAAATAAATAAATGTTTAGATTCAAACTTTTTATATATATAGAAAGACTAGCCTGTGCTGTCCCATTTAAAACGGAAGTACGAATATGATACGTATTTTTTGTATAAATTATGTGTGTATGTCTTTATTTCTGTATGTATTTATATAAAACTAAAAATTGTATTTTTTTGATAAATAAATTCGGTGATGGCACACATTTTACAATTCAAATAATTGAATTAAACTAAAAAAAATACATTTAAAATATTAAGCTGTACATAATAAACTTTACTATGAAAAATTGTTATTTCTTTAAAAAATATTGCTCATAATTTTAAAAAAAGAAAGGTTAAAAAATAAAAAACTGTTCAGATTCAAACTTTTTATATATATAGATGATATGCAAAAATATTAATTTCAGATTCTGCTAAGAAATGTAGGCAAATCCTTTAAAAATCTAATAACAAAAATAAGCAAAATATTACACACTCTATGATCATTTTAATAATTTAATTGTTTTTTGATTATTTCTTATTGGAGGAACGTCAGTTTGTCAGATTATTTTTTGAGCGCACACAATTTATTCGCATTATCATTGCTCTAATTGAAAAGTTTAAAGTATCATTTCAAAAGAAATTAATAAACAGAATAAAAAACTTAGATTATCTAATAAAAAGATAATGTGTTGTATGATTTTAACCAAAAAGGTATAGTCACTTGAATTGCACCGAAAGAAGCAATAAAAGTCAAAAATAATTTTTTAATGAAGCAAAAAATTTTTGAAATTAGAATTGGAACATATTAAGAGTTATTAATAAATTCATGTATATTAAGTAAAATCAAATGATTTAATGATAATTTATGACCATATACATAAGTTTAAAGAAAAGCCTTAGTTTGGAGTTATAGTTGAAGTTTTGGGTATACTTTTTAATGATGCTTATGTATTTACTATAAATGGGTTTTTAATTAAAAACATATAATACAGTTAGAAAAAATAGATAAAAATGATTTTTTAATTAGAGGATGGGAAAAACGAGCTGCTAAAATTTTATAACGAGGGGATTTTGTGACACGTCACATCTTCTTTATATAAATATCAATAATTAATTATCCTAATTTAAATATGTCTAACAGTAATAGCAAAAATAATAGTAGTAATAGTAAAAATAATAATAGTAATAGTAAAAATAATAATAGTGATAGTGATAGTAGAACAATTAAATCATCTGATGGATCAACCGGATATATTAATGGATCAGCCAAACTCACGAATGGATCAGCCAAACTCACGAATGGATCAGCCAAACCTACGAATGGATCAACCAAACTTACGAATGGATTAGCTGAATTTATGAATGGATCAGCGGGATATACTAATGGAGCGACTGGACTTACGAATGGATCAGCGGGATATACTAATGGAGCGACTGGACTTACGAATGGATCAGCCAAACCTACGAATGGATCAACCAAACTTACGAATGGATCAGTTAAACTTACAAATGGATCAGCCAAACTTACGAATGGATCAGCAAAACTTATGAATGGATTAACTGGAAATACATATGGATCAACGGGATATATTAATGAATCATCCAAACTCACGAATGGGACATCCAAACTTACGAATGGATCAACCAAACTCACGAATGGGACATCCAAACCTACGAATGGATCAACCAACCTTACGAATGGATCAACCAAACTCACGAATGGACCAGCCAAACTTACGAATGGATCAACCAACCTTACGAATGGATCAACCAAACTCACGAATGGACCAGCCAAACTTACGAATGGATCTGCGAGATATACTAATGGACCAGCCAAACTTACGAATGGATCTGCGAGATATACTAATGGATCAGCAAAACTTACGAATGGATCAATCAAACTCACGAATGGATTAGCTGAACTTATGAATGGATCTGCCGGACTTACGAATGGATTGGCTGAATTTATGAATGGATCTGCGAGACTTACAAGTGGATTAGATAAATTTATGAATGGATCAGCTGAATTTATAAATGGAACGACTAATTATAATAATTTTGGTGTGAAAAAAAATACGAACGGATTAACTAGACTTATAAGTTTACTACCTGAAATTATGAATGGATCAACTGGACTTATGAATGAATCAACTAGATATACGAGTGGATTAACTGGACTTATGAATGGATCATCATCTAATACGAATGGATCATCATCTAATACGAATGGATCATCATCTAATACGAATGAATCATCATCTAATACGAATGGATCATCATCTAATACGAATGGATCGTCATCTAATACGAATGGATCGTCATCTAATACGAATGGATCATCATCTAATACGAATGGATCATCATCTAATACGAATGGATCATCATCTAATTCTAATGAATCATCTCTTAATTCTAATGAATCAACTAAATATACGAATGGAAAAAATTAATTAAAAATTTAACTTTTTCACTTTTTAAATTTTTTTTCGTTTTTTTGTGGATATTTAATTTTTGAAATTTTGACAGAAATAGCAGTGATGTCTTTCTGCTATAAAAATGTTCTATAAGTAAAACACAGGTTTATTAAAGTTAACAATATAAAGCAAGTTTTTTCTTAAGTGGTTTTTAAAAAAACTCCTTTAGATATTCTAATTTAATTTTTTATTAAGCAAGACATTTGATTTGAAATCTACCACTAAGATGATTGAATCTGTATTGTATAATTATTTACACAACAAAATTACAAACAAGCAACCAAATTTTCAATTTTTCGTAAAATGTGCATGAATATAAAACAATATAAATTATGTTGCTATTCAAAATTTTTGATAAATTTAAGTATACATTACAAAATAAGCTTTTTAAGCCCGGTTAGCTCAGTTGGTAGAGCATTAGGCTCTTAACCTAAGGGTCGCGGGTTCGAGTCCCGTACCGGGTGTGTTTTTTTTTGTTATTTCACTAACCCTTTTATGATACACCAGATAAATTTAGAAAATCTTAAATTTACAACTTACATGGTAAAGAAAACATCTACTAATCTAAAAACATTGATTACTGATGCTGATTATTCTAGAAAAGGATTATTAAAAACTTACAAAAACAATCTCGAAATTGAGAGTGAACTTTCTCATCTGATAAATTTTTTAGACAATAATAAAGAGTTGCAAACAAAGGAGTTTGATGAATTTAAAAGTGAAATATGTTTGACAGGATTAAAAAATAAAAGCTCGCAGATCACCTGTTTATTGGATGAATAAATATTAAAATTTTTATATTTGCTTTTTCAATATAACGAATATACTTTCTTGTTCTATTCCACTCTCTTCGACATTAAATCCATTTTTAACGCATGCATCTACTAGTTCTTTATGGTCATATAAATAATAATATCTATCAAAAGTTTTAAACCTTACTAAATAATCTTTATTTTTTATCTGCTTAAACTTGCTTTGAAATTTGGTCTCTTCATTCCAGACGTATAAAAGTATTCGGCCAGTTGGTTTTAAAACCCTGTGCATTTCTTGTAAGGCTTGTGTTCGTCTTTCAGGTGTGCTAAAATGATGTATGACAGCAATACTTAATATTATGTCAAAAGTATTGCTATTGAAAGGAAGACATAGACAATCTCCTCTTATTAAGTTAAAAGAAACATGTGGAGTACTACTAGATTTGTGTACTAAAGAATATTTTAATTCTGATTTACAAATATTTTTTTTAGAAAGTGTACCACAATCCAAATCTTTTTGATCATTGACTTTGCAATATTTATCAACAATACAATTAAGAAGTTCTTTTGAATAATCTAGTCCGATCCACACGCCTCCTGTTCGTGGTAAATTCCTTCCATTGCCACATCCCGCATCTAGATTTAAAAACCCTGGTTTATCGTAAACTTTCAAAAACGAAGAAATTTTAGGCCACGTTTTATATCTTGTAACATCAAATTTTTTAGCGTATTTCGAATAAAATTTGTGTACATACGCATCCTCGTATTCAGAATTCATAGGGTTAAAAATATAAAAAATAAACCCTTATGGATGAACATGTGAAAAGGTTATCAATCCTAATACATAAAAGATTTAATAAAAAAATCTTATTAAAAACTTATTCAATTACAAGTTCTGTATCAGAGAATATAAATATAGAGTACCTTGCAAACAGAATTAGACAACGATCTTATAAAGCATTTTTAATATTTAATACAATAGAATTAACGCCTGCTAAATTATCTCTTATATTTGTTTTAGTGAATATTAATGGTAAAATTAATATTCCTACTCGTAAAATCGCTTTAGGATTTCTTACTAACATAAATATCTACAAAGAGGTTGTTCCTTATCATATTTATAATTTATTAGAAATTATACACTACAATGCACAATTATATCTTAAAAGTGATATGGGGGATGTTTACAGACAGCGAGCTGTATCACTGAGTGACGATGTATTATCGTTTTATATAGGTATGTATGATATTTATATGACACTTCGTTTAGTTAAAAAAATACCAAATATTATTAAAGAAGAAATTAGTGTACAGAAGACAATACCAGAACATCATATAAAAATTTTAAAACAGATATTTTTTTTAGAGCGCTGCGATTTTTTAGAAAATTTATTTTATAATTTTAAAGAAATTAAAAAAATGACAAAAATGACATACACTTACGTTCTTCACGAGACCGTTAAGAGTACTTTTAATCGTAAAATTGATGAATTAGAGATTATTTTAACTGAAAAGGGATTTTTGTTGTATTATAACATTCCAGAAAAAGAATATATATTAAAACTTAGTAAAATTTTTAAATTTTTTTTTAAAATAAAAAAATTAGAATATTTGTGTAGGAAACTTGGATTTTATAAATTAATAAGATTTATTAATAAGTTCTATTTTTATGCTTGCGAGATTGTAATTAATAAAAAAGATATATTTAAAGATATAGATAATATAATTACAGAGATTTATTTGGAAGAAAGTATTTTTTATAATTTTATTAAAGAGATGGACACTAAACTAATGAATTGTATGATTAATAAACGAAAAATTGATGATGAATTTATAAAAAAGAATATGAATGAACTACTTGTAAAAACAGAAAATGATATTTTTCAATATAACTAAATTAAAAAAATTACACTATCATTAAAATCAATAAAGATATTTTTTTAATTATAAAACACGTTCGTTTTCTTGTTCATCAATTTCAATCTTTTGAATTATTACATCATTAATTGGTTTATCAGCTTTATCTGTAGTAATATTGTTTAATATATCGAGTAATTCAATATTGACAACCTTTCCAAAGACTACATGTTTACCGTCGAGATGGGGGATCTTATCAAAACATATAAAAAATTGTGATCCATTAGTGTTTGGTCCAGAATTTGCCATAGAAATTGAACCATACTCATGTTTATATAAAAATGACTCGTCATTAAATTTTCCATTGTATATTGAAATCGAACCTGTTCCATTACCATTGATTATGTCACCACCTTGAATCACAAAATTTTTTATAAGCCTATGAAATTTAGTATTAGAGTAAGTAACTTTTGGATTAAATTTGCCTGTAGACAGTTGAACAAAATTTTCAACAGTTTTGGGTATCTCATTTTTATACAGCACGAATTCTAGTGGTGCTGGAAGGACATTAATGTAAAATCTTCCTTTTATTGCTGAACTATTGTTAGATTTAGTGATTTTAACTGCATTTTTGTTAGGTTTTTTAACTTTACATTGCAAAGATAAAAACAACAGGAACCAAAACATAAGGGTTAAAATTTTGATTTATTTTAAATGATTATTATTTGACAGGATATTATTTTTGGTAAACATTTGTATCGACTAATTATAGAATTTTATATTCTTAACATAATAAAACAACCTAAAAAAGATTGTTTAAATTAAATATATATTTAAAAACTTGTAATGTTTTATTTAAAATCTGTTATAGTTTTAAAATTATTTTTTTCACTTAGTTTTTTTATAACTTCAAATAATAATGGGAATCCTCTACCTGTCATACCTTTCCCATAGAGTGTCGTATTTTTATGATCAAAGTCTACACCGGCAATATCAAAGTGACACCATTTAACATCTTTTTTAATAAATTCTTTTAAGAAAATAGCAGCAGTACATGATCCACCTTTACGACCACCTGCATTCTTAAGATCAGCTACATCTGATTTCATACTAGATAAAAATAAAGAAGAAAGTGGCATTCGCCACGCAGGATCGCTTGACGATTCACTAGCATTTTGAATGAGAAGCGCAAGATCGTCATTATTGCAAAAATAACCCAAAAAATCTTCACCAAGAGCCACAGAAATGGCACCTGTAAGCGTAGCAATATCAAATACATATTCAGGATTACTTTTCTGAGCAAAGGTCAATGCATCCCCCAATATCAGTCTTCCTTCCGCATCAGTGTTATCTACTTCCACACTAATACCTGACATACCAACGTGTACATCACCCGGTTTAGTGGCACGGCCACCAGGCATGTTTTCTGAAAGTGGTAAAACTGCTTCAATATTTATTTTAAGCTGTAGATCATTTGCTAATTTAATAGTAGCTAACACTGTAGCCGCTCCTAACATATCTCCTTTCATAGCGGCCATGTTAGCAGAAGGTTTTAAGGAAATACCTCCAGTATCAAAAGTAATTCCCTTGCCGACTAATGATACATCGATATTCTCTTCGTTTTTGCCCTTATAAGTAATTTTAACAATTTTTGGTTTTTCATTGGATCCGTTAGCGACCCCTAGTAGTAAATTCATATTATTTTCAATCATAAATTTCTTATCAAAAATTTCAACGTTCATTCCGTTGCAGTATTTTAAAGCATATTCCGCAAAAAGTGAAGGAGTCATTAAATTAGCGGGTGTATCACCGAGAAATCTGACAAAATTTTGTGCATTGTAAATTTTTATGTACTCAGGATATCCGGACAATATTGAAATTGGAAAATTTTTGGTGTCATTTTCTCTTAAAAAATTATATTTATAATAGGCAAGCACTATACCTGATATAAAATCTCTTATGTATTCCATTTCTTCAAGTATAAAATTTACAGGTTCATCAAAATGTACAATTTTTTTGTAACATTTTGCACCTTGTGTAGACACACAAGCTTTAAATTCCTCTTCGTCTTCATTCTTGCGTATAAAACATACAAATAAAATAATGTTATTATTTTTAACCGTATAACTTATATCACTACCAGGATTATGTGATTTTAAATATTCAAGATATTCTGGTTCACAGTCAGAATATTCTTTATTGGTGTAAGAATACGGAATTATTATTACATTTCTTGCTTCAGGAATCTTCTTTGTTTGTACAAACAGTTTCTCGTAGTTTAAAAAAGCCATCTTAAGGGTAAAAAAAGTAAACATAAAAATTTTTATGAAAAAAAAATATTGAACAGTTTACACAATCGGTTTTTTTGAGCGGAATAAAGCTTATCTGCAATTTTTTAAAAGTTTTATTGTAAATATTTACCAACTGTCACTTATTTTTACTTTTACCTATCAAAATTACAAAAAAAGGACAATCATTTTTTAAAAAATCATTTAACTTAATACATTTTTAGTGGCTGTGATACTAAGCTTTTAATGTTTCTTGTAACTTATAAAGTAAATATTAAATGTGAAATTCGAGCTACAAATTGTAAAAACTTATATCACATTTTATATAAAATTCAGTAAATAATTAACATTCATGTAGTTTATGATGTATGTTTGTAACTAACTATAATCTACAATATTAAAAGAGATTATAAGCATACAGAAAAGTAAAATTTTTTTTTTCTCGATGATGACCCTTAAGAAAGTTCAAAAGTTGTCATAATGTGAATCAAAAAGGATGGTACATAAAGTTCTTATATATTGAAAGAGTTTAATTTAATACGAGGTGCAAAATAGAGTTATGGGTGTGAACATATTGAATGCAAATGAAATTAAATTGTTAAGTTAGTAATTTTTAAGTGGATAATTTATAAAAATTTAGACATTCCAATATATTTGTATTAAAAATTGATTCATATCTGCAAGAAATCGTTAGAGATATGTTTGATGTGTGATATGTTAAAATAGTTTACACACAGCAAAGTTTGTATAATTGTTTGACTAGTGAAATAGAAAATATTTTTAAAAATTTAAAGAGTGAAGAAGCAAGATTGTACATTAAAAAATCTTTTCTATTGAGTGTATGACAGTAATTATAATTGGCATTTTAGAAACATTTTTCTTATTTAAATATCTGAATTGCTAAAGTTTTATAATTAAACAACCCTATTTGTGTTTTTTAATGTTAATTATTAATAGAAAATATTAATTTTAATCTCTGAACGTATCTGATTACTAAATTATATCCAAAGTCTAAAGAATTGTTTCTGGATAATTTACAGATTCCACTAAAATTCTGTTTTTTGCGATATACGATGCAGATAATTATCTCTTCTTACTTTTATCTTTTTATTACAAATAATTTTAAAAAGTAATTTTTTTGTTTGCTTTTTATAAATAGAGCGACTTATAAAGCTTTTATACTCGAGTAAGTAGAAATTACTTTTATTAAATACTGTTTTGTAAAATAATGGATAAAATTTTAGTTAACTAAATTAAATTTTTAGCTTATTTGCCACCACCTTAAAACTTTAAATTCTCTTAACATTATCTTTTACATATCAAATATTTTTAATTATTTATGGTATAACAATTATTAAGATTTTCACAGGCAACACGTAGTTAATTTGCTATATATATTTGCACTTAGTTCTTAAACACCATCTTTTATTTTAACATTACTTTAAAACACTAAAATAATTATAACAAAAATTTAAAACTAGCTATTAAAAAATATTATTTATTGCAAACCCTTTTTTATGAAAAAATTTGAAACCGAAAAGCTAGAAAAAATTATAAAATCAAGATTTTTATTGAATCAAACAGCACAAATATATGGTGGGGTATCAGGATTGTATGATATAGGCCCTGTACTATTCGGAATAAAACAAAATTTTACTTCTGAATGGCGAAAACATTTTGTATACTATGACAAATTATACGAAGTTGAATCTTCTATTTTACTACCTTATTCTGTTCTTAAGGCTAGTGGACATGTCGATAAATTTTGCGATATTCTTATATGCGATAAAAATAACGGTTTATCGTATAGAGCTGATCATTATATTGAAGCATTTTTAAGTAAATTACCGCATTCAGATGAAATTTCACAAGAAATAAAAATGGTTGATTGTATGAACTGTAAAGATATAGACAAAATTATTCAAAAATACAATATAAAAACACCTGATGGTAATGAATTTTCTCCTTCTATAAAATTTAACTTAATGTTTGAGACAAATCTTGGATATAAAGAAGGACACTCTGTTTTTCTTAGGCCCGAGACCGCACAAGGACAATTTTTAAATTTTAAAAAGTTATATGAATTTAATAATAAAAAATTACCTTTTGGTTCTGCAACTATTGGTAAAGCATTTAGAAATGAAATTAGTCCTAGATCCGGTCTTATTAGAACGCGTGAATTCGAACAAGCAGAAATTGAATACTTTGTCAATCCTAAAGAAAAAACGTTTAAAAAGTTTAAAACTGTCAATACGTTGGTGTTACTGTTATGTTTTGATAATCAAGAAGTTAAAATGTCTCTAGAAGATGCAGTGAATAATAAGATTATCAATAATGAGATCTTAGGTTATTTTATGGGAAGAACTTACCTCTTCTTAGCCAATATTGGTATTGATTCTACACTAATAAGGTTTAGACAACATAAGAAGGATGAGATGGCACATTACGCTAAAGATTGTTGGGATTGTGAGATATATTCATCCTTTGGATGGGTAGAATGCGTCGGTATAGCTGATAGATCAGCCTACGATCTAACGTGCCATTCGCAAGCATCTGGAACTGAGCTTTGTTTTAGTGAGAAGTGTATTCCTCCGGTTATAAAAGAAGAATTGAAGCCTATAATCGACAAAAAGTCATGGATTAAGATACTTAAAAAAGACTATGAACAGTTTTCTAATGAGTTAAATTCGTTATCTAGTAAATTTATTCAAGATAACATGTTTAAAGAAAATGATAAATTTTATATCAATTTTGTTTTTAATGAAAATAGTTACAAAATTGAATGTTCTCAGATTAGGACTACAATACACGAGCAGAAGGATATTCCTGACGTTATAGAACCATCTTTTGGTATAGGTAGAATTTTGTATATTTTACTGGAACATTCTTTTTATTTAAGAGAATGTGGTAGACCAGTTTTACAACTAAAGCCTAAAATAGCTTCAACAAAAGTTATTATTTCTTATGTAGTTCAAAATGCCGTCTTTACTTCATATATAAATAATATTTTAGATCAGTTATATGATTATAATATTGTGGCAGAAGTAAATGAAAGATCTTGTAGTATTGGTAAAAAATATGCTTCCTGCGATGAAATTGGTATTCCTTATTTTGTGACATTTGATAATGATTCTCTTGTTGATAAAAAGGTAACTATTAGAGAAAGGGACAGTATGGAACAAGTTAGATTAAATATATCAGATGTATCAGGAATCATTTGTAATTTGATAAATGAAAAGATATCGTGGGAAGAGCTTAAATTTAATAATCTAAAATTTTAAATAAAATAAATTCAGTATATTAACGTTTACTGTCACTTTTTTGACTTTTTTATTATTTAGTTTTGTTTAATTAAATTTATAAGTATTTTAAAGCACGTTTATAGCCTAAAATAGAAATAAATATTTAATATAACAGTAAAAATAAAATATAAATCTTATAAAAAATTGAAATAAAGTTTAACTTAGTAAACAAGCATTTTGACTTTAACAATTTTTATCCCTTAAAATGTCAAATCTAAATTCAAAACTTATAAAATATAAAAATCTAAATCTTGTTGCGCATTTGAATGAGACATTCCCTACATACGAAAAGGCGGTAATAGAAATGGAAAAGGATAAAACCAACTCAACAAAATCTTATATTGAGACAGAAATTTTTAAGGTATTTTTGCAAAATTCTGATTCTCTTCTCGACATTCTTAATACCTATGAATCTGTTTACAATAAATTAACAGAGTTAAGAGACATTTACTATCGCACAAATTTTCAGAGTGAAGATGTTGTGCCAGTCGACAAAAAAAAATTAAGAGATTTTAGAGGGATTTTAAAAAAGTTTACAACTGATATATCAAGCTTTGATACAGGACAGAGGGTTTTAGAGTTTTATGAATTTGTTGGTCAGTATATATTTCTTATGACCAATGATATTTTATTTATCGGTAAGAAAAGTGATGTAAATTATACTTTAGTTAATACTTTTAATTATTCAATTATAGATTTAGAAACTACTGATAAACTTACAGTAAAGATGGGAGATATGAAGTTGGTTTACGAAGGAGAACAAGAAAATATTAATAAAATCGGGAGAAAATTTCAACAATTAAGTTACACCTACGAAGATTCAGTATCGACAGAAACTGAAAAAACATCATATGATGCTGATTTGAAAGACTATTTTATACAAACGGAAAAATATGATGAGTTGATTAAAAATGATATGATTTTTATCGGTGACAAAACATTGCGATTTTATGATTTTTCCACGTTGCAACGATGTACCAAAAAAAATGATTTGCTACTTGTCTCATTTCTTAAAGATAGATTTAATGAATTATTATTGATGATAAACAAGATAGATACATTAGAAAATATAATTACGAGAGTATTTGACTACTTTTATAAGTTTTATTTTGAAGAAAAAGATATTTTTAAAGAAAAAAATATTAAATTTTTATTATTGCTCGAAGATCATATTTTGGAATGTTTTAAATTTTTTGAAAAAAGATTACTTAGCAGAAAATTTTACTCTAAAACGCTAGATGAAATTTTAAATCTAATTAGTACAAAGTTAATATTTGATAATAATGATTATTCCTATATGGTAGAGTACTTTACTGATAAATTAAATCAGCAAAAAGAAAAATTTTTAGACAAAGGGCGTGATGAAATTAAGCAAGCTATAATGGAATATTTACGATGACAATGAATTTAATGTTATAAACAATTTTATTAAAAATTGATGAATTTAATATATAAAGAATTTTTGGCTAATTTAATCTAAGAAATAATTGTATTTTGATAATTTCAATAAATGTTTTGTGTATACATACTATTTTTACCTTATTTCTATATGTAAAGTGTGTGTCGGTAAAAAAAATTTTATTTACATTATTTATGTTTCTTTTCTCTTCGCCCTCTTTTGGTTTTCTATATTTATAGATTAATTTTAATTAATAGTTATTTAAATAAATCTCCCCTCCCCTTCAAGATCTTAAACAGGTTTTGTAAAAAAACAATAATTAGATATATAGGTTCTTTAAATATGAATTTTTTGACGCTACTTTATCTTTTCACTCCCTTACGAATAGCTACGTACAGATATTTTTCAAGCGAACGTAGTTATTCGAAAGGGGGTGAAAGATAGAGTAAAGGTAAAAAAAAATTATTTCTTAACCCCTATTATGGAAAATCTAAAAGAGAAAATTTTAAATTTAACGATGATATACTACTAGAAAACTCTAAGACTCTAGATTTTTTTAAATACAATTTAATAAAACATGAAATAATTTGTTTGAGATGTGGTGGAAGAATGAAGATTATGGTGGCTGCCACGTATATAGACGGGTATGCTTACAGATGCTCTTCTAAGGCATGCAGATTAAAGGCAAGACTAAAGAAGGGGTTTAAATCGGGCTCTTCGAATATAGAATTTGTAAAAATTCTTAGGGGAATGTATTGGTGGGCATATGATTATACCTTAGCTTAGGTTATTGATTTCTGCGATTGTTCGGAGAACACCTACATTAAAAATAAAGACCTGACCTTGCAAGTAATATCCGAACAAGAGCCAGAAATGGTTAAAATAGGTGGAGAAGGTATTGGGGTGCAGTTTGACGAAACTGCTATCTGTAATGGGGAGTTAATACCTAATCCATCTAGTACCCTAGACAACAAACCCAACGTACAATGGTTTGTGGGTGGTGTAGAAGAGGGAAGTTGTAAGAACTTTGTTCTAAAGCTTGTTTCTAACATAAAGGTTCCGACTATATTAGATATGTTCGAAAAACATGTTGTATTTGGATCTATCATTGTTACCGATGGTTATCCATCTTACCCCGGGGTTGTTACCTTATTTGGATCTTTCCTCGAGTGGTAAACCCCTCTGTTGGGTTTGTTAATGCTCAAGAAGCGCATACGAACCAAATTGAAAACCCGTGGTCACATATTAAGCATGCTTATAGAAAAAGTGGCGGTATTAATAAAGGGAGAATTAATTTTTGTTAAATGAGTGGCAATGAAGGAAAGAAACGTTTAAACAACGATAACAAGACGCTTAGGGCTGCATTATATAAACTATTAAAAATGTTTAGATTTTAATTTTTTGTGGCCAATCATTTTTCTAAAAAAACAGGAAGGGGATGAAGTAGCGCCAATTTTTTAATATATCTATTAAGTTTCTTAATAAATTATCTAATCAAATTGTAGTATTTTTTTCTTTTTTTGCTTTTTCAATTTTTCGAAATTTTATAAAAACAATTTGGATCAGTGCGGTCATTTCCCCAGAAAAAAAATAACGAAATTTAATTATTTTCATTCATTACAGTCAAACATTCTAATATTTATAAAACTTGTTATTTCTAAATCTTTCACGCCACATATATTCAGCAAGATATGAATTTAAGTCTTTCTTTTTAACGCCTTTCATTTTTTTAATATAAATTTTATTCTTATTCCAATACGATTCAATATGTTGCGTATGGACACCATTATCAGGATTGACAAAATTTAAAGAATGGTTTACTGTATAATATTGAAATCCTAAGCCTGTAATATCTCTATATGCAGCCCACTTATCTGAATAAATAATCGTACCAGGCAAACATATTCTTTGAATAGTATAAAGGAAGGTGGCTTTACCTCTTTGGGCTACAATCTCCATGTATCCTCTTGTCGGTACATAACTTGTATCAACTTTCCCTAAAAACCCAGACTTGTTGTTCTGACATTCGTCCCTTATGATATTTTTGCTTGTGAACAAACAATCTTTCACCAATTCGGCATATAATGCCAGGACCACTAAGGAAAATCGAATTCCTAATAAAGAACTCTACACATGCATTTCTAAAACTTCTGCGCATTTCAGTTACCTTATCGTGTCCTAGTCGCGTTAAAACGTCAATGTTTTTATGCAAATTGTTTATGCTCCAAAGGTAAATGACGTATACTCTCATTTGTAAATCAATTCGTGTTTTTTTCAGAAAACGAATCGTTTCTGATTAAAAGTATAGTTTTAAACTTAAGACTTTGTTTGTTTTCGCACTTCCAAATAAATTTGTCTTTGATCTTACTACGAGCTCGCCAATCCATACCTCTAGAGCAATATACACAACACATGCTCCCTTTAATCAATCCTGTGGATTTAAGCAAGTTAATAGGTCAATTTATATCAATACCAATAATTGACAAAATTGTCTCCTGAAAAAAATGTCTTCTCATATAAGGGTAAAAAAATAAAAAAAAGTACACTGCGGTTTTTCCTCCCTGGGAGAAAGAATCGCAATGATCCAACAATTTTTTGGTTAAGCGACCCAAAGCTGCACGATTTTTGATATACTCAAAAAAATTTTTTTTCCCTTATCTTTTGATGTTACAACAGGAGGAGCAATATGAAGAAATTTTAAATATGATTCGAGCATGTGTTTTTGCATGTTGTTGCCAAAAATGTGAATCAGAAATTGTGCAATATGGCATATCAATGGTACGTTGTAAAGACAATTTTTGTAAAATAAGATATTTTATTTTTAAACATGCTGTTTTCTTTATCTTAAAGTTTCTCCTTCGACCTTTTTAATAATTGTTGATTTATTTTTAACAATCTTTCATTCAAGCTTATTTCAAGAATTACAAGAATACTAAAAAATTATGTCTCTGCAGTGATTTACAAATTTGATACAACAAATATTTTATTTAAAGGTTAAATTTGTTATTAGTTTTTATGTCATCAAAATATGATTTTAACGTGGGTAAATTACTGCCCAAGATTCTCTTCCCTTCTAGGTTCCTCGATTGTCAGATCTGCTTCTCGTCTGAACTCCATCAAGACACTTTCAAGAGTTTTCTTTAAAGTGATTGATTGAATATAAGCTTCAATTTGATCAGAAATTGCTACAAATTTAATAAAGAATTAATATATAATAAATATCATGAGAGCATCAATTTGGGGGGGGGGAACGGAAATATGATAGAGATCGACGAAAGCAAGCTGGGGAGGAGGAAGTATAATGGAGGTCATATGGTTGAGAGAGTTTGGATCTTTGGCGTAGTTAAGCGCCATACTCGTAGAATTTTGTTATGCTCGGTGATGCAAAGAAATAGAACAGAACTTAAAAATATTATGTTTAAATACATCTTACCATATTCTATAATTTACAGTGACAGTTGGAAAGCCTACTCCAATTAAAACTTTATTATTTTGCACACAAAACCGTGAACCATTTAAAAGAATTTTTAAATAAAGTTGGTAATGTGCATACAAATACTGTAGAAGAAAACGGGTCGGGGTTAAAAAGAAATAAGCCCTACAGAAATAGAACAGCTTCATTAGTAAGAATATATCTCCTTAGGTATATGCTTTGGAGAAATCAACCAACAACAATGTTAAAAAATTTACTAGATATTTCTCTTTTTTACAAATACGAATAAAAATATTTTAATGTATAATACAAGTTTTAATTTAGAATTTTAAACAAAACAATTTTAAAATTTAGCATTATTTGTTTGCAAAAGTTATTTTTTTTTAAAAACAAGAATTTAAATCATTGTTTTTACAGAATGAAAGTGCAAAATAGGGATAAAGTTTTTTTTGAGTATATCAAAAATCGTGCGGTTTTGGGTATTTTCTCCAATATATAGTTTATTTCTGTAAGCACAGCGCAATATTTTGTGCATTTTTCTTTAATTTTGATAATTTATATCATAAAATAGTGATTGTCGTAGCCATCAAATTTCATCCCGTCACATGGTTGTCAAAAGTACGAATCTAATTGGCTACTGAAACCATTTAAACTCTATAAAATTAGGAGATGGAAAACTTAAATAAAGGAAACGACAATGACTATTGCAAAATTTAACTATTGATAAAGAGTGCATTTTATACTTTTGGACAATACATACAAGCCAAAATATATAATGCAGATTGAGAAAAAGGAAAGACATCGTGTTTATAATCCCGTTTAAAACGAGATAGCATTGGCTAGTCATCAATATATAATATATAGTTTGTTTAAAAAAAAGGAATATTTTTTTTGTCTAAAGTTTTTTTACAGGTAAAGATTTTAATGATAATTAACTATTGCTTTGATTCATTATGACAATTTTGCACTACAAATTTTTAAAAATTTACAGCTATTTTGAAGCCAGGCCTTTAATTATTTTTTGCTGTTTCAAAAAAGGAAAATTATAATTTTTGGCTCAAAACGTACAAGTTCTCCCGCCAAAAATATATTTTTTTATATTTTATAAAATTAACACTGTATGAATTTAACTTTAAAAAACAAAATTACAATTATTTTGCTTTCTAACCAAAAAATGCCTTTAGTCAAAATCGTAAGAAAATTTAAGATTTTACAAAGTACAGTATCTAAAATTGTAAAAAATATGAAGAAAAGGTACAGTTAAACGATCCAACGGGCGTGGCAGGAAAAAAAGTCACAAGCCAATAATGTTACAAATCGGTGCATTCGCGGGGAATGCGACGAGGCACCTCTCTATAATACTTACCGTTTTGCCGTCTGTTCCACCCGGTCACTTAAAATAAAATTTGTTTTTATTGTATAACGATTTATTTTTATTTTTTCTGTTCTCACTTCCTAAGATGTTTTTTTTAGCATAATTTATGAGAATTTTCTTATTTATAGTTTTTTATGAAATATTTAAAATAATAAAAAATTAATAATAATTATCATAAAGAAAGAGTCCAATTATTATACTTAAAAGATCGTGACCAGAGGTTTTGTCACAAATTGTCTTAATCAAATGGTTATTAAAAAATGCATGTGGTTATTGACAATGATACCACAATTTACTATCTTATTTAAAAAATTATGTTTTTATAATAAAAATTTGATTTAAAATTAGAAATTAAACTTCATTTATTTTAGGTTGATAAAATTTGGTTTTTAGTCCCCTTTATAGTTTAATGAAACTGAAAATAATATGTTTGTTTTTTGCTTACTTAAAATCTAGTAAAAATATTTATGACAATTTATTGAG